CAGTATTGTTTCTAAATTTAAATATTCTATTTCGTTTTAGACCGACTTTAAATTTTTAACTTTGATCCGGTTTAATGAAACACCCTTATATATAATCCGTCTTAATGAAACACCATTTATAATAGTTCCACACACTTTTCTTTATCCGTAACCAAATAATTTCAGTTTCTTTGTTAAACTTTTGGAAAGCATATTTCCCTATCGCAATAAGCCTTCAGATTTCGATGCCGCATTTTCCGTCCTCTGATTCAGTTGTAAAATGAGAGTTGTCTTGAATGGCCACTCTTCTAGAGCTTTTTGCCTTAATGTTGTTCCCCAGGTTTCTGTCCTTGGATCTACATTGTTCCTAATTTTCATAAATGACCTTCCTGATGTCATCAATTTTCAGATAGGTATCTATACTGATGTCACAACTATTTACTCCTGTCTTAAAGGTAAGTTTGATCGATAAGGTAAAACAAGCGGCTAATCAAAAAAGAAAAAAAAGTTTGTTGTTAAATAGGGCAAGGAGTGGCTTGTTAATTTTAATGCCACCAAACCGAAAATGCTCTCATTAATCTCCTTCTGGAATTCCTTGAGTTCAATTTCCGTATCTATAAATAATGTGTTATCCCCATATCTAATGTTATCTATTTAAATAATGAATCCTGGTAGGATTTTTATTCTCCCAAGCTTCTTCGGATTCCAGTGTCGCACTTTCCGTCCCATGTAAAAAAAAAAAACAAAAAAACACTTCGCATATATTTAAATTGTTGTAATTGAGAAAGAAAAAAAAACGTATCGAGAAAACATGTCTTAACATTGCTGTCTGCAAATAGAGCCTTTCAGTTTGTTAATTGCACAAAAAGCAGAAAACATCTGTCCTGAATTTTAAAGTAATTCCTATCCTTAATTATTGGGTGTCTGCGAAATTATTCATTTCTCTTTCTTTTTTCTTTTTCTCGAACCAGACCCTTTATCTTTCTCTCCTAAAAGTTCAGGTTATATAGCATTTTAAACAAAGAAAATAAATCTGTAAACTTAATAAGAGAGCTCTGCACAATCCAACCATGAAATGGCTACCGGACTAAATAGTAAAATAGCAATATGATAGTGAGATACGAATTACTATCCGAATGATTTAGATGAAGCATTGTCAGTTATTAGTAACTTTTTATTAGTACGTTTTGCTTTTTAATTTCAATTGATTAATGACAAACACCGCGTCATCGCTGTTGATTAGTGGCAACGCCAAATAAGATATTCGAATAATATTACATCTTGTTAAATAGAGCAAAGAGTGGCTTGTTAATTTTAATGCCACCAAAACGAAATTGCTCTCTGCTATTATAAGGGAACCCTTTTAAACTTCTTGCTTGATGCTAACTTCCAGGAGAGTGATCCATTGCTTGTTCTCAGACTAACGTTTTCGGCTGACATGAAGTGGAAAGACTATTTTGAATCAGTTTCTATGTCTGCAGCTAAGTGGTTCGCCGTGTCAACTAGACAACTTTTCTCACCAGAGACTATCTGACATATTTATAAGTCTACCATTTGTCCTTGCTTTGAATATAGCTGCAACGTCTGGGTGAATGTTTGAACTGATTCAGTTGTAAAATGAGAGTTGTCTTGAATGGCCACTCTTCTAGAGCTTTTTGCCTTAATGTTGTTCCCCAGGTCTCTGTCATTGGACCTACATTGTTCTTAATTTTCATAAATGACCTTCCTGATGTCATCAATTCTCAGATCGGTATCTATACTGATGTCACAACTATTTACTCCTGTCTTAAAGGTAAGTTTGATCGATAAGGTAAAACAAGCGGCTAATCAAAAAAGAAAAAAAGTTTGTTGTTAAATAGGGCAAGGTGTGGCTTGTTAATTTTAATGCCACCAAAACGAAAATGCTCTCATTAATCGCCTGAGAGAACATATTTATCTTCCATCAACATGGCTGATGCTAACCTCCATGGGAGCGACCTAATCCGCCTTATCGAACTAACGTTTTCCGCTATGAAGTGAAAAGATTATATTGAATCAATTTCTAAGTCTGCAGCTAAGAAAATTTGTTCATTGTGTCGAGCTACACAATTTTTCTCACCATATCTGATTTATAAGTCTGCTATTCGTCCTTGCTTTGAATATAGCTGCTATATCTGGTCTGCTACTCCTTTTACATATATTAGAGATACTTGATAAAATCCAAAGAAGAATCAGCAATGTTATTGGTGTTGACCTGGCAATATTCTTAGACTTTCTTTTCTATTATGTGCCCCAGACATTTCAGTCGATTCTTTCTGATGCTAAATATGTGTCCTTTTTGTTTTGTATTTTCTTTAAGAATTCGTGCTCACGTGTTCAGTCTATGATATTCTCAGCATCCTTCTGTAGAAACATATTTCTACTACATCGAGTCTCTTTATCACCTGTGAGGAGATTGCCCAGAATATACTGTCATATGACAAGACACATTAAAAAAGATTAAAATAAATGTTTAAAATTTTAACGTTCTAAAATTTTCAAAGTTTCTTGTCTGTGTATAATTATAACCAACGGTTGCGTTTTTATATTCCCCTCTCCTTCATACGTATATATAATTCAATCAACAAAAACATTACTTCAGTCCGATAAACAACAAAACACGTCACACACATTAAAAATTTTCCATTCTGATTAATTAGCCTAACATATATATATATATATATATATATATATATATATATATATATATATATATATAAGCAGCCATTCTCTGTCATAACATTGCTGATCAATGTAAGTGGTATTTAAGGTAAATCCCATCCAACTTATTCAGAAAGAGTTGAAAGAAAAAGGCGCATAGTTTTTTCTTTTTTTTTTTTTTTTTTTTTTTTTTGTTTTTTTTTTTTTTTTTTTTTGCATTGAATTTAAGTTAAACCCTTATGCAATTGTAAATCTTTTACTTTGATCCCATTCTTAAATTCAATGGAGCAGAGCTGTATCAAGCTTTTACTCTCAAACTGTTTTGTTTTAAGGTTCCATTATAATAATTTATTTCACCAGAGCCCTTTTAAGGGACGCTGGATCATCAGATAACACTCCCAAAAATGAAACGAAAGATGAAATGAAAATTCACACTTTTGACGGGTAGTATTAAGTTTATTCATAACTTTTATATATATATATATATATATATATATATATATATATATATATAGGATTACAAATTTGGTGTAGATGGAATAAACTTCCAGTAACCATGAACACTAAAAAAAAAAAAGGTCAATATAGAGTAGAGTGAATAATATTTATTTAAAAATGATAAAATATGTATGTAACATCATTACAAAAATAGACATTTTGTTTCAACACTTCGGGTGTCTTGTCAAATGATGGAGCTGCAAATAATTATTCGTAAATATACAATTATTTACGAAAAGTTATTCGTAAATATACAATTATTTACGAAAAATTATTAGTAAATAATTATATAGGCCACACTACAACATGATTGACACGAAGACTCACTCTACACCTTTCTGACCATAGCTCAATTAAATCTCATTTAAATATTCATGGAGACATACCGGACCCTATTTGTAACATAGTTGTTGTTAACACAACTATAATAGCATCATCTACATGCAAAAAAAAGGCTAAAAATAATGGTAGCCTTATAAATAAAAACAAAAAAACAACACTCATTAATATCAACTATGAACATGGGCACAATATCTTGACCGTGTTTTGAAAATGTCAACATTATATAAATAGATACATGCAACAAACTATTTCTTCTTAATAGTTAATATATTTCAACCTTGAAAATGGCTAAATGTATAGCCGAAAGCGCTCGGATTAAAAGAACATTCGGACAGTTTTTGTATATCATCTGAAAAGGAAAAAAAATATTAGGTCACATGAGAAATTGTTTAAAAAAACTAAATCAAAGCTTCTTCTCTGTCTGTCTTATTCGATGATATATATATATATGTATATATATATATATATATATATATATATATATATATATATATATATTACCATACATAAAGCAATATTTAGGGTTTTTCAGAAGGCTTGGGATACGTTAATTACTTGAAACTTCCGATGGATGCGTGTATCTCTTTGAAGTCGGTACGCCACAAATTATACTAACGTTTATTTTACAAGTATTATTTATAGATAATACAGCCATGGCCAAAATTATGGAGAACCTATAAAAATTTGAGATAATAGTTTAAACCTACGTATTTCAAGGTTAAGAATCGTACAGTGAACAATTGAGAGCAAATGTAAAATATTTAACAGTAGATTGTAGTATTTTTTTTTTTTGCTTTAAAGCCTCTCTCAAGAGCTTTAGCTGAGTTTCGTACTAAATTCATTCCAATATTCAAAATGATTTACTGTCATACTAAAGGTTGTTTCGTAATTTTCGGGTAATATTTGATTCCTACTAGTGTATATTTAATTGAAAATGCCTCCAAAGAAGCAGCTTTCAGAGATTAAAAGGGCACAAATTGTTGCTTTATCTGGTGAAGGATATTCCCAGGTAAAAATTGCCAGGAAGATGGAATGTTCAAGGAAGGGGGTTCAAACAACGATTAAAAGGTACAAGGAAACAAAGTCTTTCAAAAACAGAAAAGGACAAGGCCGTAAAAAGTCTACAACCGCCAGGGAAGACAGATCTTTGAAAAGAGCATCCCTTGCAGATAGGAGGAAAAGTTCTTCAGAGGTTGTTGCTGAACTTAGGGAGGATGCAAACAAAAACATATCAGCTCGACCAGTGAGAAGAAGGTTATTAGAAGTGGGATTAAAAGGATGCAAAGCCAGGAAGAAGCCATACTTGTCTCAGGCCAACAAGAAAAAACGACTGGAATTTGATGATTGGGGCAAAATTGTTTGGTCTGACGAAAGTAACCTTGAGCTTCTATTTCCTAAACTTTGGATGTAATAATTGAAATTTTTATGTGAATACACATCCATAACATTTATTCAAAAATTGTAAGAAATTTTTTTTTCATCAGATTTTTGGCGCCCCTGGAATGGTTTATGTTCGCCGTAGGGAAGGAGAGGCATTTCATCCTGATTGTGTGGCTTCAACTTTAAAATTTGGAGGGTAAAGCGTAATGGTTTGGGGCTGCATGGCTTCTTCAGGCACTGGAATGTTGTACACATGTGAGGGCAGAATGAACTCCACAATTTATGCTAACATGCTGGTTTACCGAACCTCTTTGACTAAAATATTTAATAATAACATTCCAAGTTATGTAATCTTCCAACAAGACAATGCTCCATGCCATACGTCAAAAGTTTCAATCGGTTGTTTTGAGAAAAAAGGGATTACAGTGATGAAGTGGCCCTCCTCAATCCACAGACCTAAATCCCATTGAAACTTTGTGGTACCATTTAGGGAAAAGAGTGAGAATGCACAAATGTTCATCAAAAAAAGAATTAGAGGCCAAACTTCATGAAGATTGGCAGAAAATAGATCCTACCACCTGCAACAACTTAGTCAATAATATGCAAAAACGAATAAAAGCTGTTATAAAGGCAAAAGGAGGACATACCAAATATTGATTGTTGTTATTAATGTTTACTCCACTATTCTTAACCTTTAAATATATAAGTTTGAATCATAATTTCGATTTTTTGTTGGTGCTCCATAATTTTGGCCAAGGCTGTATATAGGTGTATATAATATGTCTCAAGTCCGGATCAAAACCCAACCAATTAGGTGTCAGTCAGAGTTTCTACCACTGAGTTTCATTCGACAGAAAGAAACAGTTAAATCTAGCGTATTGTTTTTACTAATGTAAACAAATGCCAATCAGCCGGAGTGCTCCGATTCATTTTACTGAAGAGCTTTGCATTAACGCAGGTGGCTGTTGGTTATAGAATTAGCCTATCACTCAACAGTGCTCGATTGGAATATATTTTAAAGAGTTAAATTATGTCATTAGCAGAGAGTACTGTTTCGCTGTATCACAGCTCCTCAGTGCGACTAGAGATCCGATGCCTCGAGCCCAGATCGATATATATATATATATATATATATATATATATATATATATATAGGGAGTGTAAGTGACAGCACAGAATATAAGCTATTCTATAGATACAATGGTATGATTAACATTCGTGGTATAATTTTCCGATTGACAGGATGTATAAAATGAAAGGTAGAAGAGCAGAATGATAGGTCATAATATTATATTTGTAATTCTACTGATTTAATGATATATAATATTATTTTATTTAATATATGGGTATTGGCTAACTGTCCTAGCAGTCGGGGGCATTCGGAAGCCACTAGCTGGCCATTACATATGTATTTGTTCATTTGGGTAGCAATACCTCTATAATACGGTGCTGCTGCTAAATTTAAATATTCTATTTTTCTTGTATGCGAACAAGAGATTTGTTTTTTTTTGACTTTGTGTAGAAATTACTGTTTATTACCACACACATTCTATCTTCCTATCTAAGCCTGTTCATTATCTATCTATTTATCTAATCTTTTCATATCTATCTATATTATTCTTTTCAGGCTTATCTATCTATCTATCTATCTATCTATGTTAATCTTTTCATATCTATCTTTATTATTCTTTGCGGGCCTATCTATCTATCTATCTTACTCTTTTTATATCATCTATATTATTATTTTCAGGTTTATCTATCTATCTATCTATCTATCTATCTATCTATGTTAATCTTTTCATATCTATCTTTATTATTCTTTGCGGGCCTATCTATCTATCTATCTATCTATCTATCTATCTATCTATCTTACTCTTTTTATATCATCTATATTATTATTTTCAGGTTTATCTATCTATCTATCTATCTATCTATCTTAATCTTTGCATATCTATCTATATTATTCTTTTCAGGCGTATCTATCTATCTATCTATCTTAATCTTTTCATATCTATCTATATTATTCTTTTCAAGCCTATCTATCTATCTATCTTAATCTTTTCATATCTATATTATTCTTTTCAGATCTATCTATCTATCTATCTATCTATCTATCTATCTTAATCTTTTCATATGTATCTATATTATTCTTTTCAGGCCTATCTATCTTAATCGTTTCGTATCTATCTATATTATTTTTTTCAGGCCTGTCTATCTATCTTGATAGTGTGAACATATAAATTAACGCTGTATTGTCTGATAATTGCGCCGATATTCAGCGCTCTTTTCTCATAAATACAAGATATTCTTGAACACGCACATACACACACGCGCTTGCACACACAGACACACTCTCTCACGCACACATACAGGGTTATTAAAATAGAATGAACCGATTTAATGACGCATTAATTCAGTTCTGAAGCATCGTCATGGAATGAGTCAGTGAAAGAGGAGCTTTGAATGGCTGCCACAAGGGCGCTGTAGTCGTATAGTATATCCGGCAACGTTCAGTTCTTTGTTTACCCTCGGAATGGTGAGTCCACAGCAAAAGGCATTCTGCGTTCGAGAGTTCGCGAAAACAAATACGGTTGTCACGGTGCAGCGTGCTTTTTGGAGGCAATTCAACATTAATCCGCCTTTTCCTCAGAACATTCGACTGTGATTTAAACAGTTTCAAGAGAGTGGACGTCTGTGTAAAGATAAAACGTCCAGGACGACCACGAGTTTCGGAGAATCCGTGCTATGTTTGAGGGGAGTACATGGAAGTCCACAAATCGAGCAGGCTGTCAGTCTGCGATCTCTCAATCCACTATCTGGCGTGTGTTAAGAACACGCCTACATTTGAAACATTACACACTACGCCTCGTCCAGGCGCTTACCAAGACTTTGCTCTTTGTGCTTGGCCTGCGAGATCCCTAGACCTCACCGTGTGTGATTATTTTCTTGTGGGGATACGCAAAAGATCCACCTCTACCCATTAAATCTTGATGACCCTAAACATCGAATAATAACAACGATCAACTCAGTGGATCGTGATATGCTGATACGCGTCTGGGAGGAATTCTCTTATTGCATTCATGTTGCCCGTGCTGCTGGTGTTGGCCACATTAAACACTTGTAAGACAGAAAATAAAAGCTGGGTGTGTGTAGAATACTTTCAACTTGGCTGGAGGTTTCTATTACTTTTCCTTATTAAAATACTGCGTAATGAAATCCGTTCATTCTTTTTTAATAACCCGATATATATATATATATATATATATATATATATATATAGAGAGAGAGAGAGAGAGATAGATAGATAGATAGATAGATAGATAGATAGATAAATACGTCATGCGTTGAACGGATGTCAAAATTCGTTGAAAAATGCACCCGTACCTAGACTTAACCTTTTTCTCGAACGTAACTCATAATTGATACAATAATAGTTAATAAAAATGAACACGCTACCGTCCCTGTCTAAATGATTGGATTTCCCTGTATCGTTGGAAACAGGAAATTATGAATTTATATGTGCGTTTAAAACTCAGTAAATTTAAAAATAAGTTATTCCAAAATTCGCTTGAAGATGAAAAACAGAACTATTGCTTTTAATTTTTATTATATAATTAAATTTGAAGTTTTTAGCTTCGGTTTTTGAACCATGGTAATTCCTGTGTATCGAACGAACCATATTTTAAATCCGTTAATAGTTAATTTATTATATATATAATTCCAGAAGTAATTCCAGAAGTTTTGAGAGTTTTCAGGGGAGGCTGTTTACGTTAATAATTTTAGTATATTATTAATACATATATAAGCTGGCCTGCCAATTTTCGTTATACTAGATTGAAGGTGACATCTGTAATAGATCTTTGAACATACCTAAACACTGCTTGTCACAGATGACTAGTTTGTAGAATACAGTCGGGACGTGAAGACAATTTCAAATATCGCTCTGCAATTAATTTTGTGTTGAGAGAGATGGGGGGTCTTAACCGCCCTTCACCCTTACTACAGTCCAGACTTTGCTTCCTGTAACTTTTCGTTGTTTCCCCATGCCGAAGGAGAAAATCAGGGCCAGTCGTTTTGGAGACGTTGAAAAGATGAAGGAGGCTGTGACAAATGTGACATCTTCACTTTGCATGATTTCACTGGGACCTTCAAGAAGTGTTTGGAGCGCTACAACGAGTACAGTGGCAAAATATAGTTTCCAAGTATGCCATAAAGATGCCCCAAAATCAAGGATGTACAAAAATTTAAATATCTGGAAATTGTTCAACAAAGGACGGAACGTGCGACGGTGAGATCCGAAGACGTGTTGGGATGGACAAAGATGCATTCCAAAAGCTAAGCAGAGTATTAAGAGACAGGAAAACTTCATCGGAAATAAAGAAAAAAAAATGAAAAGAGTACTGAAATATTACATGACATCTGTTCTTCTGTATGACAGCGAATGCTGGGCAATCTCCTCAAAGGTGTAGAAGAGACTCGAAGCAACAGAAATATGGTTCTACAGAAAGATGCTGAGGATAACATGGACCGAAAATGTGAGAAACAAGGTTTTGGAGAAAATGTAAACAAAAAGGAAATTTATACGTAACATGAGAAAGAGGCACTAGAAATGTCTGGGGCACGTCATGAGGAAGGAGAGCTCGGAAAATCTGATACTCACAGGATAGACTGAGGGGAAAAAAGAAAGCAGCATGGTATAGAGTTAAATGAGTTAAGCAGATATGCAAAAATAGAACGGGGCGTAAGACATGGATGTGTCTTCTCATCGGATTTATTCAACCTAAAAAACTCGACAATTCTGAGAGAATTAGAAGTTCTACCAGGATTGTTGGCGGCCTCAATCTTAAAAATATAAGATATGTTGATATCACGACACGGAAAAGAAATTACAAAAGCTCCTACAGAAGGTAGCAAAAGAATACGAAAAGAGAGACGTTGTTTAAACTACAAGGCAGATTTCATGGTTATCAGCAAAATGCAAATTACAAATCGGGGATACTAAAATCAACCAAGTACTTATATTTAAATATTTGGGAAGTGTTTTAACAGAGGACGGATGTATTGGGATGACCGAATTAGCCTCCCAAAAGCTAAGCAGAGTATTAACAGACATAAAAGTTTCGTTAGAAATAAAAGAAAAAGGGACCAGACATTTTTGTGATATCTGTCCTCCTGTATAGCAGTAAATGCTGGACAAACTTCTCAAAGATAAGGAAGAAGAGAATTGAAGCAACAGAAATATGCTTCAACAGAAAGATGCTGAGGGTACCATACGCCGAACATAAGAGCAATACTTTCTAATTTGGTAATTGATAAATTTGACATGAGAGAAAAATGTGTTGAAAATACCATTGCAGTCTATTCTCTTTTGCAGTCCGAATATACTACCCAGTCAAAATAATAATGGAAACAGAACGGAAACTTATGCTTAACATCGGGAAGAGAGAATACCATGGATCAATCATGAAGAAGAGACATGAAGCAATAGAAATGTGGTTCTACAGAAGGATGCTGAGAATACCATGGACCGAACATGTCAGCAACGATGAAGTTTTAGAGAAAATGGAAACAAAAAGGAAAGTTATGCTTAACATCTAGAAGAAAGAATACCATGGACCAAACATGAGGAAGAGACTTGAAGCAACAGAAATTTGGTTCTACAGAAAGATGCTGAGGATACCATAGACCGAACATATGAGCAACGATGAGGTTTTGGAGAAGATGCAAACAAAGAGGAACCTTATCCTTAACATCAAGAAGAGACAGCTGAAATTTCTTGGACACGTAATGAGGAAGGAGGGTTTGAAAAATCTGATACTCACAAGGCGGATAGGGGGAAAGAGAGACAGGAGAAAGCAACGCGGGACATTCTTAATGAGCTTGAGCAAGTGGATAGGGGAACAGGGCCTGGAAGAAATAACAGAAAAGACAAAACTTATTAAGAGCTACAAGGGACAGGATGATGTGGAGGTCCATAATCGACTACGTCTTAAAGAGACACGTCACATCAAAGAAGAAGATATTTATGGGTTAAAGTGCACAATATGAGGGATAGAGCATATGGAAATATAAAAGTGGACATTGACGTCAACAACCAGAGAAGCAAGTCTGTTTCATGCTAAGAAAACGCAATCGTCAGGCCATATGAGTTGTTTTAATTCAACTATAATACAGTAAAATACACATAATGCATCACTGAAACTATATATATAAATTGTCAAGCAAAAACATAGCGCATAATATGGACTGATAATTGCGCTTAGCCGAAAAAAACATATATATATATATATATATATAACAAAGTATATAATTGGTATATACGGAATGAATTCCAATAACCAACAATTACTATTCTTAAAAGAGTGCTCAATACAAAGTAGAGCAGATATAATTATTTTTTAGAAAAAAATTATAACATAAGTATGTTATAAAATCACTACAAAAATAGCCATTTTGTTTCAACACACTCTGTGTCTTATCAAGTGATGATGTTGAAAAAAGAAAATAAATGGTTTTAAAAGTTTCAGATTAATTAACGATCCTACACTAGGGGGAAACATTGTTACAAAAGCTAGAATAACCAATCAAAAACGAAGTATAGAAAGATTCAAAAGCTTGACAACGAAATCCTGCTATAATAGCTATTCAGATCTTTAAATACGTGTAATATTAAAATAATTTATACTAACTAATAATTATAAATTTATATGATAAAATTTAATATTAAAATTAAAAACTGGCAATTTTAAAATCCAAATTTAATCACTGTTAAGTTTAAAAACTACAAAATTATTGAGAAAAGAAAAATATATATGTTTATTCAATTCATTTCTTCATTGAAATTACGTTCGACAAGACAAGACGCTACAATACATCCGGTCATTTGACAATACATGTATATATATTTTTTCTTAGGAGAACTTTGAATTCAAAACCTGCGGTGGGTCGTTTGGTGACTTTGTGCCACGTAGTGCACAAGGTTTTTGTATTCGGTCCTTCAAAAAGTGCGGATGGTTCGGCACAAAACCTTCAATACTATAATATGGCTGTCAGTTCCAAGGAACTGAACTACTTGACCCTCATACGCCGAATATGACGGAAAAGTCGAATATATATATATATAT